GAAAAGACCAGGATAGCTTTCCCCAAGGACTTGCTGGCATCACCCAGCACATGACCTAAAGCTAAATGGTGGGCAGTTTGTGGTTCAGTGTGTTGTGGGAACTCACTATGGCCTTGCCAAGTTGTGTGAACAAAGCCATATTAAACCATCATGTGGTTTTAGCTCTTTGGACACAGTATGTTACATAAACACAGGATTGATCGCATATTAATCAGGGATGATCACTAAGCATAGGATTGGCACAAGCATTTTACCTAAGCAAAAATTCAAAATAGGACTGCTCTTATTTAACTTTTACTTTATCCCAGAGTATTACAAACGATGGCCTCGCAGTCTATCTTAAAGTTGCTACCAAATTGTATTTTTTTAAGGGAAAAATTATTAAACACATGGGAATTATTAACTGAACATAATTAAAGCAAACATTCACTGCCTTGAGTTATTTATGAAGAGTTGGACACGACTTAATGACTGAACAACAACAAAAAATCTCCATTTTCATCCTGGCCCTGCCTACTGTTAGACATGTGCCCTCCTGCTCACCATCTAAACGTGGGCCTTGTCCTGCCAGAACCAGGGGCCTCTTGCTTTAGACCAGTGTTTTTCAAACCGGCTGGGGAATTCTGGCAGTTGAAGTCCACACATCTTAAAATTGCCAAGTTTGAAAAACACTGCTTTAGTCCATGCACCAATCCTCCCAAACTGATGGCCATGCAATGTATTGGAATTGAGAGCTGGAGTCCAACATATCTGGAGGGTTTCAGCTGGGGAAGAACTTGTATTCAAAGTCATTTAAGTGGTGCCAGACAAAAAGTAGCCCATCCATGCCAAGGAAAGCACCAGAGAGAGAGAACCATCTTGTACTTTCTACATCAACCACTCTACACAAAATAACAAGAATTGCAGTCCAAGTCATCCAGAAGACGTTGGAGAAGGCTGATTTAGAACTATGTACATGCTTTTATTCTTATTTATGTAAGCTAGAGAAGTGTCACTATTTTAATAAACACCAAATATTAGTGGTGGTGTCTACCATGGTATGCCTAATTAAGGAAGAGGTGTGGACGATGCCTTCCAAAAATGATCTTCAGATCTTGCCAAGAAGCATAAAGTTGTACTGATGGGTAGTTACTCCAGTATATGCTGGAAACTCTGCAAAGCTTGGGACTCCAAAAATTCCTAATCTGTCTTGCTGGCAACATTCTCCTTCAGAGAGTAGAAGAAAAGCATAGTGACTATCTGAAAACAAAAAAGAAGAAAGAGGAGAAGGAAAAAAGGGTAGGGAACAAAGAAACAGTACAGGCAGGTAGCCCAGAATGGTAGAGAAGGTGCCAGGAAGATAGAACTAAAAGAATGAGCTGAGTGGATGAAGGATGGTAGAAATAACAAATAAGGATCTCTTTAGATAAATACAGAATAAAAAAGAAGATAAATTCATCAGCTCAGATAAAATGCTAAGAGGGGACAAAGAAAAAGCAGACCTGCTCAACTTCTGTGTTGATTCCATCTTCTCCAACTTGAGAACTCGAAATGAAGGAACAGGACGGAGATACAGCCAGAGATTAGCCTGCAGTATTTGGATCCAAAGCAGGAAAAGTGTACTTGCTCTAACTGTGGGCATCTCCTTGATTCTTTTTCCTGGACTCCTGGTCACTGTCTTCCTAACTCAAACACATCTCCCAGCCAAGGAAATGTTGTGAAGGCACCTACATTGGATCCAAAGCACCTTTTCCACTTTGGATCCACATATTACACATCTCTAGACAAGAACGCCTCTTTACTTTGAATGAGTTTAAATCTCCAGGGCCAGATGAATTGCATCCTAGGGTACTGAAGAAACTTGTTGATGGTCTGGCTGAACATAGTCTGAGGAATCCTGGAGAGCTGATCTAGTGCCAGATGACTGGGGAAGGGCAAATATTATCCCTATCTTCAAAAGGGGGGAAAGGAGGATCTAAGAAATCACAAGCCCATCAGTCTACCATTAATACCTGGGAAGATTCTAGGGATCATAAAGAGACTGATTTATAAGTACCCTGAAAATAATGCAATCATTACCAAAAGTCAAGATGGCTATTTCAAGAACAAGCCTTTCTAAACTAACCTTATTGTATTTGATTCGAACTTCCTTAGTAGATTATGGGAGTGCCAAGGAGTATAATTTTCAGATTACACAAGTAATAGTTTCACTATATCCTCCACTGGCCAGATTCCCCTGTCAAATATCACACCCAGTTTTGGGCACAGCACTTGAAGAAGAACTGAAACAAATTAGAATAGGTTTGGGGAAGAGCAATGAAAGTGATCAGGGGACCAGAAACGAAGTCCTATAAAGATAGACGGAAGGAACAGGGCACTGTGGGGATAGCACAGCACTCCCAAAATACTTTCAAGGATGTCATGCAGGAGGTTCACCTGTTCAGAGTTGCAGAACATGGAGTAATGGATTTACATTACAAGAAGGCATTGTACATTAGGGGAAAAAAAACATGTAAGAGCACTTTGGCAGTAAAACATTACACATGGAGATGGTATGTTCTCCTTCACAGATGCATTCAAGCAGAGGCTAGAGACCCCTCTGCTGAGGATACCTTAATCTGGTTTCCTGCCCTGAGCAGGGAGTTGGACTCAGTGGCACTAAATATGAAATGCAGCCTTCTTCAATGTGACCTCCAGACGTGTGAGATTCAACTCAGAATTCTTAGCAACAGTCAATAAGCTGCCCAAAGTCTTCTGAATGAGAGTGGGATATAAACCAGGTAATAAATAAACAAATGCGAGCAAAGGCATTCTGAGAGTCAAGGATGTGCTTCTGTAGATCCCCCAGGTTGAGAAAAGCAAGCAAATGAAGAACAAGTAAAATCCCTCAGGGTGTTTTGACCACTTGTAAGAATTCTCATTTTTTCTGTATCATTCTCCCTGTGTTGTAAAGCCACTGCAATGGAGTGACAGGACTAGGAAGACAGGAGTTTAAATCCCCAGTCCCTATGAAGCATCCCTGAGAATCATTCCTGTTTTTTTAAACTTCATTGTTGTGAAAAGGAAAGACCAGGGAGAAGGCCTTAGTATTCCACTTTCATCTCCTTGTGTTTATTATTGCTGTGGGTGTTTTGAAAATATTCAGATCTAACCTGAGCAAAGCACCTCTCTGCTGTTCATTAAACCGTGTTTTTTTTTCTTTTTGCCTGAAAAAAAGTCATAGTTTAATGAACAACAGAGAGGTGCTGGGCTTGTGCTAGATCTAAAACACCCCTTCTGAATCATTTTCAAAGAATGCACAGCCTGAATATTTATTATACATGCAATGAACAAATAAAACAGTTTATGACACTGTTTTTATTGCTTAGTTTGTAAGTGACTTCGTTCTCTCTTTATTTGGATACAAATATTCCCTTCCTTAAAGAAACATCCAAGCTGTTTCAAGTATGTAAGGGGGGGGGGATGGGAAGATTCAAGCAAGTGCTTTCTAAAAATCCAAACACTCTTTGAACTGCAGGCAGTGGACCATATTTGTTCCCAGCTCACCTTCTGATCATCAGGAACCTGTATTTTCCGTGCCTTTTTCATGATTGGCTGGGGCTTAAGTTCCTCTTCCGAGAACCGATGCTTGCGGGGGTCAAAGGTCTCGTGGCCTGGAATGCTGGACAGTGCCAAATCAGCAGGGTCAGGGTCAAAGTTCATGAGGACCTCCACAGCCTCAGGGTCTACTGGGCTGGGTGTGCTTCGGGATACAGGCGTGATAGGACCTGAGGCAGGTAAGGAGGAAGACGGGTGAATTTTGCAAACAGAGAGAAGGCACCAACTGGAGTGGAAGGCTGCTGGTGCCATTCTTCTTCCTGATGAGCACGCCCACATGCGTCATATACCCACCCACCCCCCTTTCTTCCCTGGGCACAACAACTCTTCCAGAAAGGGACTAACAGATGTTGCGGCTATGTGTCTTGACAACCAGAACTGTCAAGAGAGAACACCACATTTCAGTGCTCCTCAGCCAACTTCCCAAACCCGATTAAAGGTACGCAGAGGGGCTGGGAAATTTCTGCAGGTTAAGCAGCACCCCAACCCCATTTGGGGGGGGATTTTCTGGAGCACGCCATGTCTGACAGGGCCTAAGACGCAGCCACGGAAGGGGCATAGGGGTAAACGTGCTCTGACAACCGTAAATCAAGGGGCAGTTGCTTTAAAAGCTTATTAAGTTACCCAACCTGGGAAAATCAGGGGTTGTGGCAGAGAAGGAGAAGGTCGTTTTGTGGCTAGCAGAGCCAGAGATGGCTTGGAGTCGTGTGATGTCAAAATGTGCCTGTGCGATGAATTATGAGAGCACGCGCCAGAAAACAGGGACTCAGCACATCTGGCAGTCCTCCTAAGCTTAACTCCCCCCCAAATCCTCAACCTGGAAACTCCCCTTATAACTCCAGATTTCCTGGCTCCTTGTCCCTCTTCCTCACGATTTAGGACCTAAGAATGTCCTCCAAATGCATGTCTATCCGTCTCTGCCCAAAGCGACCTAATCTTCATAAATTAAAAACATGCAGTTTTTAATGCCCCCCCCCACCTCAACATGCAACTAAATTACCTGTTCAGACCCATCCTGGGTCCCAAAGTCCCTTTTTCACTGAACCTCCATTTCCATTTCTGGCCCACATTTCTGACCTCCAACATTAAACCTTTTTCTTCAAGAATCACAAACAAGCAAACCACCTCCCCCCCACCCCCGCTCCGTAAACAGCCCATTGCTGTCCCTCTGCATATAGACCCATCTTCTGCTGAGGAACC